CTTCTCCAGTTTACTCTTATGCTTGACTAGATATGTACTCCATACTGGAGCCGCATACTCCAGGATTGGTCTGACATATGTGGTATATAATGTTCTGAAAGATTCCTTACACAAGTTTCTAAAGGCCGTTCTTATGTTAGCCAACATGGCATATACCGCTGATGTTATCCTCTTGATATGAGCTTCAGGGGACAGGTCTGGCGTTATATCAACCCCCAGGTCTTTCTCTCTCTCTCTGACTCCTGAAGTATTTCATCTCCCAAATGATACCTTGTATCTGGTCTCCTGCTTCCTACCCCTATCTTCATTACATTACATTTGCTTGGGTTAAACTCTAACAACCATTTGTTCGACCATTCCTGCAGCTTGTCCAGGTCTTCTTGAAACCTCAAGCTGTCCTCCTCTGTCTTAATCATTCTCATAATTTTGGCATCGTCAGCAAACATTGAGAGGAATGAGTCTATACCCTCCGGGAGATCATTTACGTATATCAGAAACAGGATAGGTCCAAGTACAGAGCCCTGTGGGACTCCACTGGTGACTTATGCCAATCTGAGGTCTTGCCCCCTCACTGTAACTCTCTGCTTCCTATTGCTTAGGTACTCCCTTATCCACTGGAACACCCAGTTACCCCTGCCTGTTTCTCCAGCTTATGCATCAGCCTTTTATGGGGTACTGTGTCAAAGGCTTTCCGACAGTCCAAAAAAATGCAGTCCGCCCATCTTTCTCTTTCTTGCTTAATCTTTGTCACCTGATCATAGAATTCTATTAAGCCTGTAAGGCAAGATTTACCCTCCCTGAACCCATGTTGATGGGTTGTCACGAAGTCTCTTCTCTCCAGATGTGTTACTAGTTTTTTTCTCGCAATCTTCTCCATCACCTTGCATGGTATACAAGTCAAGGACACTGGCCTGTAGTTCAGTGCCTCTTGTCTGTCACCCTTTTTGTATATTGCCTGGATTGTATATTACCTACTTTGCCTATTGCTACATTAGCCGTCTTCCATATTTCTGGTAGGTCTCCCGTTTCCAGTGACCTACTATACACTATGGAGAGTGGCAAACAAAGTGCTCCTGCACACTCTTTCAATACCTATGGTGAGATTCCGTCCGGCCCAACAGCTTTTCTCACGTCCAGCTCCAATAGGTGCTTCTTGACCTCATCTCTTGTAATTTCGAACCTTTCCAAGGTCACCTGGTTTGCTGCCACCTCTCCTAGCGCCGTGACTTCTCCTTGTTCTATTGTAAAGACCTCCTGGAACCTTTTGTTGAGTTTCTCACACACCTCTTTGTCATTCTCTCTGTACCTGTCCTCACCCATCCTAAGTTTCGTCACCTGTTCCTTCACTGTTGTCTTCCTTCACATGTGACTGTGTAATAGTTTTGGTACGGTCTTGACTTTGTTAGCTATATCATTTTCATACCTATTTCTCAGCTGCTCTTCTCATACTAACATACTCGTTCCTGGTTCTCTGGCATCTCTCTGTCAGGTGTTCTGTTATTACGGAAATTCCTCCATGCTTTTTTGTTCAGCTCCTTTGCTTTCATACATTCCCTAGTAAACCATGGATTCTTCTTTTTCTTCTCTGTTTTTTCCTGTTGGGTCGGGACAAACCTGCTTACAGCCTCCTGACACTTTTGGGTAACATAGTCCATCATGTCTTGTACGGACTTGGTTCTGAATTCTGTGTCCCATTGTATATCCCTAAGGAATTTATTCATCTCCTCATAGTTTCCTTTTCGGTACGCCAGCCCTTTGTTTCCCAGTTCTTTTTTTGGGGAAATAATTCCTAGCTCAACCAGGTACTCAAAGCAGAATACACTATGATCACTCATTTCCAGAGGGGCTTCCAACTTAACTTCCCTTATATCTGACTCATTTAGGGTAAATATCAGATCAAGCAAGGCTGGTTCGTCCTCTCCTCTCATTCTTGTCGGTCCCTCGACGTGTTGACTTAGAAAGTTTCTTGTTGCCACGTCCAACAGCTTAGTGCTCCATGTGTCTGGTCCTCCATGTGGGTCTCTGTTCACCGAATCTATCTTCCCCTGGTT